CTTACCCAATCATATTTTGATTATTAAAGGTAAAAAACATTATAAAATTCCATAAATACTAAGTATTTAAGAGTCTCTCTCTGATCCCCAATTTGATGTTACCAATATCAAACTCATAAAACAGATCCTCTCAAACAATAATTTTCCTCTCCATGTCATTAACAAACTTATAACAGACCACAATAATCGCTCTTCCTCAATCTCGACTATATATATATATATATATATATATATGATATGTATTAATTTCAATTATTCTCCATTATTACTCAACAGTTATTATCTTTGTTTTATTGTCTCTCCAGAATTTCTATAAACTATCTAAATTTTTTTTTTTATTTTATTTCTTAAAGACATTTACAACTGTATTAAACAAATACATCTAGTAAATTAGAACATAATGTATATAATGACATGAAAAACACTTGCTGAGTAACTACCCAATGGTAGCACTCTAAATTTAAATTTATTATAAATTTATTTATAATTTATTTATTATAAATTTATTTTATATTAAACTATTTTATTGCCCCTTTCTATCAACTTTTGTTTAATTATCCATAATATTTATGAGTAATATATCTCGCGTCCTTATTTACGCTTCCAGTACTTTTGTTCAAACTTCGTCAGATAACCGTTGGAGATGACACCACTCTACATCCCTTCTCTCCACCCCCTCCCTGACTAACATGATCATTGCTCCGATTTACATCTTTGCAGTCAGGTTGGTTTTCTTTTTCTTTCTTATTTCAGCCTTCTCAATTTCTTTCCTCCTTCCTTTCATTCCTTTTCTCTGTTTTAACTCTTTATTATATTATACGTTGCCTGTACATCTTGATAGACTTTACAACATCCCAATTTCCTATCCAACTATTCTATTCACAATATTTTAATTTTACTATTTATTTCCATTTCTTATATAACTTCATATTTTTCTGTTTTACATTTTATTCTAAGATTCCTATTTTAATATTTATGTCACCTTTTTTGATTATGTTTACTTCATCATTCCACACTTTGTACCGGTTATTATCATTTATCTCTTAGTTCTGACTATTGTCATTATTCTAACAACTGCATTTTACTTTAATTTTTTTTTATTTTTTTTTTACCTACACTACGTATGTTTCTCATACCTTGTTATCTTGTTCTTTTCTTAGCCCTGATGATGGCCTGAACTTCAGGTCGAAACGTCGGCAAATGTCAAAATAAATATTATCATTTATTTTTGCCTTCCTTTTTTGACTGATCACCCCAACTATTCTTCTCTTCGATATATATTTTTAAAATACAAAAGTAAATTATTCATTACCAATTCTATACAAAATGAAAAATTCCACCATATTTTTAACTTTTAATGAAAGGGACATTAACAAGGGTACAATTGAGCTTTAAAATAATTAGGATTTAATAAACTTTGACTAAAATCTGAAGTAATAGATTATTTTCAAGAAATTTATAAAATATTTCTCACGAATATAAATATTTGGGAAAATTCCTAAATCAGTTGATAGAATTCAGTGCTCAGAATAGAATTCAGTTATTCATCAATTGAATCACTGAAGGCTTAGTGATTCTGTTGGCTTTTGGAGTTGATGGATCCACTGGATGAAATATCAGTGCTGTTATATTTCAATTTACTTTACATATTTCTATGCTTACTTTTTGAGTATATGGGCACATTCCTAAACTCAGCAATGAGCTCATTGATGACATTGGATCCATCTAAATGGTTTGAACTGGGTGAAACGATGCCATCGATGAATATTGAGTTTAGGAATTTGCCCTATTTATTATATCTGTTTCGAAATTCAACAATTCAGTAGTAGGGTATTTCTGTAAACATGTTGTAAATGTTCATATATTTAGTAACCTTTCGTTACTAAAGTTTAGTAGTGTTCTTTTGTAATCCTTCAGGTCATTACTAAACTGAGCAAAAATCGCTGTCCATCGCTACTGGTTTTAATCGATTGATGGAATCCATATATGGAATTAGCACTAAGTTTAGGAATGTACTTTTTATTTGTTATTAAGTAATGTTCGTTCTAAAAATTCAAATTTTTGTAAACAAAAGAAAAAAAATATCTGTATCATCACAATCCATGAAGGATCTTGGGTTCAGTATTATGTTGGGAAGTATTATTTCTTGGTCAACAGTTGTGCAAGGAAGTGATTTAACCGAGAAAGGATTTCCTGCTTAATTAATTAAGAGTACCCATTTTATAGAGGCTGGGTGTGCCCCAGAATGAGGGCCTTCCAATTACTGGGTCGTTCCATGGTCAATGAAACAGAATAAATAATTTTTGTGCCATCAGCCGGACTCGAACACGGGACCTTGAGCTTTGGAAGTCAGTGCCCAACCACTACCACTCTTCCTTGTAAATATTATGGTTTAATTTTTTTTTATATAAATAAATTGGATGGGACACCAATAAGTTATGTTAATAAATAAAAAAGCTTTCGTGATCCTCTTTCCTAAAAATCTCCGTTATTATGTAATTTTAATCTACATGATCTTTGCAATCATTGGCCATCTTCAGCATATCTGTTTTCTAATTATCACAATGCATTTTTTATAATAAACAATTTAAAATGGGTTTTGTCTATTTTCCATTTTTGAATCAGAAATGATAATGGTCAATTTATTAAAATTAAAAATAAAATTTAATAAATTATCAAAAACTTAAAAAACATATTGTCATGATTTTATTTATCAAATATTTAAAAATATGGAAGAGTCAGGAATACTGTGGAGGGAAGGAACCAACTCCCACTCTCCTCTCAAAGCTCAAAGGCCAGCCTTCTTCTGGCCATTGGCCAAGATGCACTTCTCTGTTTGTTATAGAAAGCTCTCGAGAGAACATGTTCACAATGTCAGGCAATTATAGACCTAACTGAATACCATCTTCAAGTGGAGTATCAGTATCAGTATCAAGATTATGCAGTGTAATATATGAGTTCAGATTTATTAGAGACTGTATCAAGAAGCTGTACCATAGTAATTTTATTTTTTATTCACTTATCATAAAATTTTGTTTTTAGATTAAATGGAAATGCTTGATAAATGTACTGATGTCGTTTATTAAATCCTTAATAACTCACAGTCCACGGAACATTTAAGCCCTCAGCTAAAGCTAAAGCTTCAAACCTATTCTTAATTTTTAACTCCCATTGATTCCTAATTCATGGATTTTTTAATTTTCCAAACTAAAATTTCAGTGTTAAAACTGTTTTGTTTTCTCTTTTTTAAATTAAGCGTTTGTAGAAGTTTCACAATTACTATTTCATGATATGAACCACATTCTGCCCCTCAATAAGTCCTTACATTAATTACATTATTTTGTCCTCTATGTTGTATCAAGACATGATCGATTCGATTGTGTGTTTGTGAATCTGACAATGACCAAATATGTTTATGAATATCCTTATGTTTAAACATAGCACTTTTAATTATTAGGTTTTTCAAGATGGCAGAGTTTATTAGCTGAATTCCATTATCATTTTTTTTGGGCATTACCGATTTATAACTGTTTGATTGATAGCCTAATTATTTTTAATTTATTATGGAATCATACCTTTTATAGTAGAACAAGTTTATACACTTCACTATAATTTGACAGAGTACCACCGGGTACACTATGGACCAAGGGAGCATCGGTTGGAAGCCATACCTAGCTTTTTGCCTTAACCGGCCTCCAACCTTACTCCCTGGACCGGGTACACCACCAAGAATGCAGGCACACAACAGGTGCCCACGGAATAAGACAACTACTACTACCATAACTTCCGTCCACTCGCTACACATTGTACCAGAAGATAGCCTGAACAACGCCAAGGCTAGCTGAACACTGGTGTCGTGCAGCGAGTAGTCGTAAACACATCGACCACTACGACCGCCACGGCCGAACAGTGCAAGCACTCTCGCCGTCCACCCATAGCGCCGCCGGGGCTCCGGCGACGCCCCGTAGTACCAATTTGGTCGGGAAGCTGCTTCCCTGACCTCAGAGCACGATTGGTCTCAGGCTCCGCAATCAGTAGATCGCTACGGCTTTACATTGCCTGCCGATGCACCTCCGCAGTCAATGAGGGACACGACTCAAACCTAAGGGTTCGAGACGATGACCGTCCCCGGACTATAATTTGACAGAGAGAATCGGCTCTTAATTTTGTTTTTTGGGAAACACAGATAATAGGCATTGCTTAATTATAATTAATTTCTAATTTACATTATATTTATTAGTTCCAAATTATATATCACTATAAATTTAATTTATTGTTTTTTTCTCAAATAATTTATTTTGAAGTTCTTTCCATTTTTTTTCCTTTTTAATATTATAATTTTTTCCTGAGGAAAATTTCTTTATTATTTACATATATATATGATTATAATTTTTGTATGGTTTATATATCATTATAATTTTGTATAGTTTAGATTTATTGTACGTTGTAATTTCTCGATTCATAACTAAAGTAATATATTCTTTTGTTTTCCAATTACTTTGTCTTCTTTTTTTCCTTTCATATTTTTACCTTATTTATTTTGTTTTAAGGGTTCCAATGACTGGCACTTATTGAAATGGGGTTGAGACTATGTTCGTATATTTTAAAACATCACTCTCCCCATCAATTATTACTATAATCAACATAATGCGTTTAATCAAAATGTTTGTAAGAACATTGTAAAACAAATCATATAAAGTAGTACTTACATTAAGTATATTTGAGATAAACACACAAACATACACACATCATAAGATTAATTTCATCACAACAATAATGATTACAAAATTTAACAAGATATAGCTGTTACATGTACACACATATGCACGATGTACGCATGCACACACACTATTTTAAAGTGACTAAGTTATTTGGACTCCTTATAATTTATTTCTGTAGACAACTCGGATTTAAAACTTTTCATGAGCACTACTACTACTTCCCCTACCAATTCAGTGAATTAATAAATAATAATTTTAATAATTAGCTACAGATCTTACTTGCATTTACAGCTTGCTTTTCCAACTACTTTTTTAAGGTCAATGTATGAAATTAATTGCTCTTCTCTAACATTTGGTGGGCTGTGATATTTATCTAAAAGGACCCACAACGTTCTTAATTCATTATTGTCAAGTAATGTAATATTCCTCCTTTGAAGAAATAAAGATCTACCTTCTTCCCTCAATTTCAATGGCAATGAATCAGCATCTTCTGGTATCTATGAAATCCAAAAAAATATAGGAATAAACTGAAAATTAATAAAATCTTACATTAATTAAGATATGTTGAATATATAAAAATTTTAAATACATCATTAGAAAGAAAACTTACCTCATGAAAAAATTTTGGTATTGTCTTAAAAGTTGGATTGGAGGCATCAGACTTATTACTCTTCCATTCCTCAAAAATGGTTGAAAACATATCACATTCTCCATTTAACGTATTATTATTTGCATTGTTTATCTCTAAAAAAAAAAAAAAAAATAAATAAAGTATTAAATACTAAGAAGAGATTGAAAGAAATAAAAAACAAACTTCATAACATTTAGATGTAAAGTAGCATTGCAATAGCAAATCTATTACATCAATTGTTTTATCTACAAAGGAATGACATCATGATTGAGAGAATGACTTCATTAAGTTTGTTATGGATGAAGAGACTGGGGTAGTAGTGAATAGACTTCAGCCTGAAAGGATTTTATGTGTGTATATATACATTCTTCTTCTTCAATGGGCGCTAAAGTCCTTGTAGAACCTGGGCCTCTGTCACAACTCTCCTCCACTCCTCACGGTCCACAGCAAGATTCCTCCAATTTCTGATCCACAGCCTCCTCAAGTCTTCTTCCAGATCATCCAACCATCGGTGTTTGGGTCTACCTCTTTGTCGTCTCCCTCCTGGAGTACCATTCAGTATCATTTTTGGAGGTCTACTGAGATCCATTCTTTCAACATGACCCAGCCATCTGAGTCTGCCCTTCTTAATGACACTAAGGATGCCTGACTCTCCATTAACTCGGTGTTCCTTCTTATTCTTCATTCATGCTCCTCTCTGACAGCTCCAAAGATCTTCCTTAGGACTCTTCTCTCTTCCAGACCAGCAAGGCTCTCCTGTTTTCCTTGGTCATAGTCCACGTCTCACTGCCATACAAAACGACCGGTCTAATCACCGTTTTATATATTACTATTTTTGCTTTCCTGGACAGACTTTTTATCGGAGCCCTTTTGCAGAGCATAGAAACATCTAGTTCCTGCAACCATCCTGCTTTTTATTTCTGCTTCCAAATTATTGTTTTCTGTCACTACTCCGCCCAAGTACTTAAATTTATCACAGTTGCGAAACGTGTCTTCTCCCAATTCAACAGTATCTCCTCTCTCTCTGGTATGTCGGGATGTTTTCATATACCTCGTCTTTTCCGAGCTTATAATGGGTCCCAGCTGCATGCTTGAGCTCTTTTATAGCGCTGGCTAGTGCTGCTTTAGTTCTCCCTGATATAAAAACATCATCAGCATGTGCCATGTGTTGTGTGAGCCTATTATAGATGGTACCACCAGGGTTTGTCTTGATTTTCCGAATTGCAACCTCTAAAGCGAGATTGAATAGTTCAGGAGATAATGAATTTCCCTGCCTTAGGCCACTGTTAACCCCGAAACTATCTGGCATACCCACTCTGGTTTTGATCATACAGCTTGTTCTTTCTAATAATAATAATACTTTATTTATTCTGGGACGAGTCCCTTTAGAATAATACAGAAAGACATATATATGGGCTAAGGAGCCTCAGAGATAAATAAATAAAGATACAGAGTAATTAAACAGTCATAGTAATAAAATTAAATAAAGAGGATGAAGTAAAAATAATGAAGAACGAGCTAATAATTTATATACATATTTACATTAGTATCTATTTACAATTTCATGGGGACTGGATTGATAAGAAATGATTGAACAGACGGGATTTAAAGGTAGGAAGGGTATTAGATTGTCGAATGTGAGAAGGGATGGAGTTCCAAAGGGATGAGGATCGGATAATGAAAGATCTGTCGAAAGCAGCGGTTCGGTGGGCCCTTATATATAAGTCAGAAGACCGGGAACGAGTATTACGGGAACGAACAGAGGATTTGAATTGAAGGAGCTCAGAGATGTATGAAGGACGGTGTGATTGGATAACTTGAAAGAGGAAGGATGCCAGGAAATATTTACGACGTAGGAAGGATAAAGCCACTTCAACTCTGCATAAAAATGGGAAACAGAGGCGTCCCTTGGTATCCCGAAGATGAATCTTACAAAGCAATTTATTAAACGTTTTAGTTTCGCCTCGAGATCCCCAGAGACGCCCCCATATACCGAACAGCAATAGTCAAAGTGGGGGAAAATTAAAGAAGTGACTAGGAGCCTACGGGTTTCAAATGGAAATAGGTGACGAGAATAATTTAGACGTTTTAGAGTGGAAATGGTACTGGCGGGAAATATTGGATACATGTTTTTTCAGGAAAGTGTTTGATCGAAGGTTATTCCAAGGTTTTTGACGGTGGGGTAAAATTTGATGGGATTATCATGCAGGAACAGAGTTGGAATATTAGGAACGGTTTTAAGGAGGTAATTGGAGCCTATTAAGATTGCCTTCGTCTTTCCCGCATTCAACTTCAACTTGTTAGTTCTCGCCCAGTCACAAATCCTATCCAAGTCTTCTTGTAGTTTCTCTGTGGCAGATAATAGGTCGGAGGGTGGGAAGGACAGGTATATTTGGAAATCATCTGCATAGATATGGTATTGGGTCTTAGAGGAAGGTTGGCCTGGGACTACTACATACTGGAATCGATTTGAAAGGAAGAATTTGAACCAGCGCAGGGCAGTGTTGGATAGAGGAAGATTGTGCAATTTCGTAAGGAGGATCTTATGGTCAACTGTGTCAAACGCTTTGGAAAAATCTAGAAGGATGAGGATGGTAAGGTTTTGGTGTTCGATGAAGTTTTGGAGGTCATGGGTTATTTTAAGGAGAGCGGATTGCGTTGAGTAACCAGGTCGAAAGCCAGATTGGAATGGGTTGATAAGGGAACGTTCTTCTAGGAAGTTGGAGAGTTGATTTTGGACAAGGCGTTCTAACGGCTTTGAGAGGTTGGATAGGAGAGAAATAGGACGGAAATCGTGCAGTGAGGTAGGGTTGGGAATTTTATTCAAAGGTCGGACTAGGGCGGTTTTCCAGGAGGATGGGAATATAGAGTTTTGCAGCGAAAAGTTGTAGATATGGTAAAGAACAGGAATAAGGGCAGGAAGGCTGGATTTTATTAGTTTTACTGGGATATTATCAGGACCATAATCATTAGTGTGGGATTTTAGGATAGTGGAAAGTAATTCATCATAGGTTACATGGGAGAAAAAGAAGTCTTCAGGATTGAAATTGTGATGTTTAATATCGAAAGTAGGAGAAGAATCGTGAGTGAAGGATAGGAAATGGTCATTGAGATCATCTGGAGTCACCGGGATGGAACTGAGTTTATTGGATTCTGGTAGGGATAGGTTATGAAGTATTTTCCATTTGGATTTGGAATCAGGAGCATTGGAAAGGGCATTATGGAAGTAGTTGGATTTAGCCAGTCGCTTTTCATCATTTCCTTTATTTCAGGAGTCAGCCAAGGTGCAGTGGGACGACGTAAGGTTTTAGTTTTCAGAGGAGCATGGATGTCTAATAAGGATTGTAGGTTTGAGGTTAGGGTAGATACCATAGGATCAATAGAGTCATAGGAAAATATGATGTCCCATTGGAAAGAATCAAGGTCAGGTTGTAGGGATTCATAGGACAGAAGGTTTAAATTACAGTATGAAACTATTTTGGGTGTAAAGGATTTCACGGGTAGGTCGTATGTAATTTGGATCAGGTCGTGTGATGAAAGAAATGGGACGGTTTGTTGGGAAGAGGAGATGATTTTGATGTGCGAGTCAGAGATGTAGAGGTCTAACCAGGTGTCGGAAAATTGCGTGTGATGGGTAGGAGAATAAGGAACAAGATAAAGACTAAGGGAGAACAGTAGGTCGGTTAGGAAGTATTATTCAGGAGATTGTGAAAACATATTCACGTTGAAATCGCCCGAGATAATAATATTGGTATAGTTGGAAACCAGGTCAGTAAGTGAGGATTCAAAAAGGTTGTCAAATGGAACACGAGGAGGGCGGTAAACTACGACATACAACAGAGGAGAGGGAATAGAGGAGATTTCAACGAACATGTATTCCACGTGAGGAAAATCATGATGAAGAGACTGTTGAAGGATTTTGGCCTTAAGACTGTCATGGATATATAATCCGACACCACCTCCCGTGCCATGAGATCTATCATGACGTAGGAACGAGTAATCGGGTAAGGAAATCTGGGAGGATGGGATAAAAGATTTCAGCCAGGTTTCAGATACTACTATAATGTGGTAAAAATTGTCAAGGAAATATTTTTGGAATTCATCGTAGTGTGCAATAAGGGATTGTGCGTTGATGTGACAGGAATTCATGATATTAGTCATGACAGTAGAGTTGGGAAGGAGAATTCTAGGGAAAATGATCGAGGATAAAGGTTAGGATATAACACTTTTTTAAACAAATATTCCGTTTAAAAAAATCTAGAAAAAAAAACAAAAAAAACAAACCAATGAATTTTCAGTATTGCCAAATAAATATTCTGTTAAGTTTAGTTTATAGCATAGAAAAATATAAATATCTCCTTGTTTTAAATACATTAATAAAGTTTTGTAAATAACCAAATAAAGGTCTAAATCATTAGTACAAAAATAAAGAAAGCTAAAAATATAAAAGATTAAAATTAAAATGTTTCTGGCGAAAATAAATGTATTCAAAAATAAAAAAAGCTTCAATATAAATAAAAAAATAGAAAATCCTACATTTGCTCAAAAACCTGAATTAAAAAAAAAAAAAGAATATTTCTGGCGAAAATAAGTGTATACAAGAATAAAAAAAGCTTCAATATAAATAAAAAATAAAAAAAGCTATATTTATGCAAAAAAAAACTGAATTTAAAAAAAATAAAATAAGAATATTTCTGGCGAAAATAAATGTATACAAAAATAAAAAAAGCTTCAATACAAATAAAAAAGGCTACATTTATATGAAAATAAAGAAAGCTAAAAATAAAAAAGATTAAAATTAAAATATTTCTGGCAAAAAAAATAAATTAAATGCAGACTCAGGGTAACTTGTAAACAACGTTCAACTGAATACGTCCAGGTCACTGGATTTTCCTATAATCACCGGTGGGTATCCATCTGACTGTCTGCAGCGTATTTTACCTCCACTAAGCCAAATATATTTTATTTTTGCAGTCAATTTCTTCTGCCTGGCTAACCAATAGAGGTGTTCATTGGTGGGCGTCATCGCTTCACTCACATAAACGCGGTGAGAGTCATTCTCTCCCCAGCCTAGATGTTGTGTGGAGAAATCTCTCTTTGTTCTTCGCTGCTG